GTCTCCTCTTATCGTGTCGACAATGTATTTACAGTAATATTAATAAGAAGTCCCGTTATATGTTCGTGAGGTAATTTTCGCTAAAAATGTGGTGCGCAAACTAGCAAACCCATTCAATTTACTTGTGTTTCAGCAGTGCCAGAGCAAAGATGAGTGGAAAATAAAATCAGGCAAATATATGCACGTATACATGAGATCTTTATTAACAGTTTTTGGTACCTCGCGTTTTTTTCTTTTGCGCCGTTTGAGAGTGACACCGTTTTTCCTCCAAGTCTACCTTGTAGGGTATCGTGACGAACTTTTTGTAGGGTATTGTGACGAACTTTTTTTATTCAAGAATTTTAACTGTTATCGTTGATTATTTGTAAAAAAAATATAATAATACCAGATAACATTTACTGCTGCAGTTTTATTGTTGTTTTTAATAGTGACGTCAATTTAATTTAATTAAAAAAAAATTTGCACTTTGACCATTTTTTTTTTTGTAAGTTTGGGTATTATCTTATTACTTTTTTCTTTTCCGTATCGAAAATAACCTTTCCGTAAATAATATATAAAAAAATGTATTTTTTTGTTTGTAAAAAGGATGGTTTACACCAAACGCTGTGGGATTTGGCTACGTTGAAATTTCGAATCCAAATTTTTTTAGAAATATGCTCAGTAAATGTAGGTAACTTTCTGCTTTTACACTTTTAAAAAATATTGATTTTTGGAGAAGTTACATTAAAGAACAAATCGTTCGTCACATTACCCTACAACTTTTGAAAGTGCAAAAAAGAAGGGTTCACGCCAAACGCTGTGGGATTTAGCTGCATTGGAATTTCGAATTTCGAATTTTTCAGGGATATGCTCAGTAGATGTAAGCAACTTTCTGCGTTTACACTTTTGAAAAATATTGATTTTTAGAAAAGTTACATTCAAAAAACGAATCGTTCGTCACCTTACCCTACACTCCCCTACGCATTTTTAATGTCGGACCATTTTTAGACAAGATACAGCAAAAAAACATAGAGAAAAACTAAAAATTTGGCCAAAAAACCAGATCCCAATTTTTCACAATAAAATAATTAGTTTTTTGACCGTAACAATGGAAAATTCCATCCAAATATGGATTGCCATACCTTTCTGAATTCGTTATTAAAGTTCCTATCGATTGGCATTTAAATCTGAAAATTTTATTTTTTGTCCAATTTTTGCAAAAAATTATGATTATGATTATCCCTTATAAAAAATGTGAAAATTGACAAAAATTTTATTTTTAGAAAATCACACGGACGGTGTCATGGATCTATTTATTATTTTGTTATCTGTTCAAAACAGTCCGCATTTTTAATGTCGGACCATTTTTAGCCAAGATACAGCAAAAAATTATAAAGAAGAAATTAAAAATTTGGCCAAAAAAAACAAATTCCGTCCGTGTCCTTGGGGCCATATAAACATATTTTTATAGCTATTACCTTGAATACGTTTTAATAAAAAATTGCAAGTTTAGTCAAAACATTCAGCAAACCATTTGAAGTCGTACGTTTAATAAGAAAAGATTAGAAACCTGATATATTGACATTTAAAATATTTACAGAGCCACAAAACGAATTCAGGATTGTTAGCGAAGCTAAGTCAAAGGAAATTATAAGTGCAAAATATTCGAGAGGAAAATCAGACCCCCAAAAACTGGGTTTTAATTCCGATTTTCCGGTATTTGCAAGTCAATCGAATCGTAGAATCGCTCAAGGAAAATGCCAAATTAAACGCTCATTGACTTTGGCTTATTACAAATTTTGGCCAATACACACGCACACAAACGGGTGCAGTGTTACACACTCACGCACACTGTTACAGTTAAGTAAACAAAAGTCAACACATTTTTGGGCGAAAACATTTTTGAGCTTGGTATTTTGGGTTCTGTTTGCCTGCATTTCCCTTACCCCTTTCGCTTTTCCACTTTCTGGACTTTCTCCGTTCACACACACACTCACACTTACAGATACAGCCATCCTGCAATATCCTTTCTGCAGCAGTCACAATCAAATGGCCGGATAGAGAGATTGAATCTCTTGTGGCACAAAAATTGCGCATACGCAATGTTGTCACTGGCATTTTTCCGCAAAGATAGCTATCAGCAAACCATAGTATACATTTATGCATTTCAATTGTTCATGATGAGCACACCCACACAAACACACGCCAACACCCACACACACTCACACACGCAGCAGCTCACTTGTGCAATAAAATATTTTCGAAATCAACGCCAACGGAAAAATTCATTCGCGTAGGCGCTGCGAACATCTCGAAAAGGTAAACAAGGCAAAAAAAAAAAGCAAAGAGAGCAGGAAGTCGCTTTATAGCACACCCTCTATTGAGAACTAAACATATAATTTAAATTACGATTATGATAATACATAATCAGGTATGTTTTATATAATTTTATTTGATATTATTTTAATCTTTTAAAATAAAATTATATAAAACCCATTACATTTGGGCATAACATAACCAATAAATATAATTTAACAAATTTAAAATAACGATTAAAGACTTTCCCAAGTAATTAAATTATTGTTATAGGTCGTTTTTGATTTCTACGACCCAACTGTATTCTCCGATTATTATCATCTGTCATTTGCAGCGAATCAAGGCAAACGAGAGCGTTGGGGGAAAGGAAGCCATGGCTCAAAAACCGAAACCGAAATGCAAAACGTGACTTTTCCCGGAGCCGTCGACTGAGGCGTCAACTGCCAGACTTGCTGACTACGGCGGGCAGACTGGCGGACAGACTTACGGACGGACGGCCCAGCCAGTTTTGTAAATTTGTTTGCCTTTCCTCGCGCGGTCTTGGCAATTATTAGCGGGGCAAGTCAACAAGCCGCACACCGCAAAAAACCGGGGGGGAGGTGCACCCATTTCCATCAAAAAAGGAAACCCCATTTTGATATCAATAAGCTGTTGAACAAAGAAAATCCCCAATTGACTGATTTCGGTTTAAAGATACCTAATAAATAAAACACGAAAATATACGAATGCTATTTCTATTAGTTCAATCTTAAATTTTATACTTCAATAATAAATATCGAATAATTAAATTAGACAAAAAGTGGTAACTAAGCATAGTAATTTAAAATGAGTAAAAAGAAAATGAAGAAATTGGAAGAAAATTATAAATACGATTTTCTAAAACATTAAATATTTAAATTCAATATTTAATAAATTATTAAATTCATTTAATTGTGTTTTTTTCACTTAGAAGATCTAAATAACATAATATACAAATTTTAAGGAAATCATAAATACAATTTTTTAAAACATTAAATATAAATTTAAACGATGTTTATTAAACAAAAAATTAACCATTTTATTTTCATTTGGATTGACTCTCTGCGAAACCGGGAACCTTGCGGATTGTTGGAAAATTTATGGACTGCGGTCCAAGGATTCGGATGCGGATTCAGCTCGAGTCCTCCGGTTTCAACTGCAGCTTCTGTTTCATGCATATTTATTTATTTATTTATTGGTTTGTTTTCCTTTGCCTTTGCCGCTCTCTGCTGGCATATGTATTTGGTTAATTGAAATTGATTTCCTGGACGCCAGGAGACTCTCATAAAAATCAATTTCACTTTTCAGTTTTCAGCTAACGAAAATAAAAACGAAAAGTGTCTGCGAATAGAATTGCATAATCGCGGGGTGTTTTTGGATTTGCACTCGGATTGGGTTTAGAAAACTTGAACTAAAAACCGCAAGCTGACCGAGTTGGAGTATTGGTGGTGGTGCTGATGGGTGGTGCTGCTGATGGTTGGGTGGGTTTCTCTGTTCAGGTGGCGGTGCTTTCGAAGTGAGTTAAACCGCAAGAACCGCTGACCTGCTTACTTGAGTGCTGGACACAAAGTGGGGTTTGTTTGTGTTTGTGTGTGCGTGCAACATGCAACACCACCACCCCCCAGTGACGTCAATGAACACGCAACCCCACGCTGACAACAATGCAACAGACACAACCGACAACAGCAACAGGAATTGCAACACAGCAGCAACATCGCACAAAGACAGCGACAACAATGGCAAAACTTCGGTGCAATGCTATGACAAATGATTAAATACCAGGGTGGAAAATAAAATAAAAGATGGGAAGTAAAGTAAAAAAAAAACAAAAAACCAAAGGGGATTGAAAAAATATAAACTGTAGTTTCGCTTAAAGTTTTCCCTTTTACATTCAGCAATTCGACCAAAAAGCAAACCAAAAACGCTGCAAGTTTGAAGTTTAATTAGTGAAGCTTTTCAAAAAAAATATACAAAAATTAGTGCTTTAAAAATTACTTTTCTTAATTATTTTTAATAATTTGACTTTTTAAAAATTGAAAGAAAGATAATATTTTTAAAATATTTGTAGAATTTTTTCTCCCATCGATTAAACAAGTTGCTTAGTATTTTGTATAATAAAGATGATTGGTTGCTGTTTTTGCACCTTCTATTATCTATTATCTCAACAAGGCGTGCCTTCATCTCTCACTGTCACAGGTGAGAACTTAATCGGACATATTCAAAGCGAATTCCGAAACGCCCTTGATAAATGGGTGTATTAAGGTGCATTACCACCGGGCAACTAGATGTATTTGCTGTTATTGTGGGCGCAACTATGTCAATCGGCGGCTTTTACTTACTTAACGTATGCATTAGCCGAACTTAATTAATTACTTTGTCCGCGCGTAATTACAAAGTCAGTTTAGTTTAGTGGGGGGTGTCACAACCACAAAACTCAATTCAACTGTTGGTCGAAGGCGGTGAACCAAAACCGAAGACAAGTTAAGCGGAAAGTTTCTATTGCGAACGATTGGTTTGGGAATGTTCAAGTAATGTCTTTAATTGCACAATGTAATATATGTGGAGTAAGCACAATGTTTTTGCTTCTCAAAATATTGAACACTTGGTCCTTCGAGCGGGATATTAATAGAAATAGTAATACCATTTAAAAACAGCCGTAAATCACAAATATCTCACGGTTGACTCACCTCTAAACGGTTCTCCAAGATAACATCTTTATGTGCTGGCTAAAGTTGATAAAGCCCTTCAAGGTGATAACTAAAAAAAATAAAAAAAGAAAGAAAGGCAAATGTGTGATTACAATGTGCAACAACAAGTGTGCAAATAGGTATCGATTCTATTTGATTAATTGTTACAGACAATCGAAAATGTAAACAATATGTTAACAGCTCGATTATCGCGCACACACATTCCGATATGGGGGCTTTTTGGGGGTGGCAATTCCGGTGAGACCTCTATAATTCCCGCGGTAATTAGACCAACATTTCAGTAGTACAGATAAAAGCCAAACAAAAGCAGTAGAAAAAAACAGAAAAAAATACAACAACATTTAAAATAAAAACATAAAATGTAGAAGAAGGATAGAAATACAAAAAAAAACCCATTTGCCATTTAGCAAATGCGACGATGCCGGCGTAATTAAAAAATTCTTATCAATTTCAATTGTTAATTGTTGTGGCTTATTCTACACACAGTAAGTACCGTGTTCAGGTATCTATATCTATTGTACATAAATTTATATGGGGGCACATTTGTATGTACGTACTGTGCTTTATGGGGCTGAATGCGAAATATGAGGGACTAGATCGATAAACCCCAAAAAATCCCCCTTTTATAACAGTAAACACTTGGCAAACAGCGCGCGTCTTAGAAACCCCAAAGCCAAATTATATAATACCATATAGTTTTTAGACCAACAAGATAAATTCAACCACTTATTTATCGACAAAAGGGATTAGACCCATTCACAAAATTACATTTCATTGTCCCGTATCGCTTAAAATATTTCTACAGTTTGCAGGAAAGGCATTTGAGGACACAAATTAGGATTTGAAATGCCAGCACCCAAAATGCAAATCAAAATCATAACGTTTGTCTCACTCTTTTTCCCAGGTAAAGTAGCCCACACATTCGCACGAACTATACACGGAAAAAAATATGTAAATTTCCTAAAAAGAAAAACATAGGAAAAAAGTTTAACAAAAAAATAAGTTGTATATAATTTTAAATATTTATTGAGGTTTTGGGCATTGAAATAAATTGCTTTTTAATACCGAATGATCTCGATAATTCAGATAAATGTTTATTTGGTTTAAACAAACTTCCTCTATGCAAAAAAAAAAAAAGACTACAAAAAAAATAAATCTATCGATAATACATTGTTAATCAATGTATTATAATTGATTTTCAATTTACGCCTCTTTTGGTTTAGTCAAGAGATTCATATTTTTTTTCCAGTGCACCATATAGTGAGGGATATTAGTAGCCTTGTCTTTGGCCCGACCTCAGAACTCAGTCGCATCCCCGAGGCTAGCAAATTGAGCTGGATGTTTTCACTTGCCATTTCCGGGCTGCAACAACAAACCACATGCCCATCCACTCACACACACACACAAGCACAGACACACTAATACTCTTGCACGGGGGGAAAATGAAAATTTAGGAAGGACATGGCATTGTTCCGATGAATCCTGTTGTGGCCAACGTAGAAACCATGAGAGATCCAGTCGAATTGCATGCGTATTCGTATTCGTTTGCCATAATTACTATCATCATCTGGTTGTTATTGAAGGACTTATCGCATAAATGGGTGCAAAAGGTTGGGCGAATTGTGGCATACTTAATTTAATTCAAAGCCCAATGAATGGTAAACGCTTTCCCTTGGACATGTGTATTTATGGGAATTTGAGAGGACATGTATATTTCCTGGCTCGGATTATAAACGGATGGGTCTATGAAAGGGTGAACAAAGCGAGAACTATTTTAATTACTTTTGATTTGAACAATTGGATATTAATTTTGAATAAATTTATAAATTAATTAATAAATTAGGAACTTTTAATTAAAATGTTATATATTAAATAAAAAAATTGGTTAAGTATAATATTTTTATTTCAGTTCTATTTAAAAATATTAAGTATAAAAAAATGTTGAATATTTTTAAAATCGTGGAAATCGTGCATATATTATAATTATAATATAATATATATAATTTTATATTTAAAGCATTTATTCGGCTAAGAACTTCCTTAAGCTCCCCCACTATTTTTTGGCAGCAATTCCATTTTATTGGCAATGACAATAGGGTTTTAAAATTGGTTTGCGATTTTCGTTTTTTTTTTTTTTGTCAAATTAATGCCAAGGCACTTGTCGCAACATGTTGTGCATGCCAAAGATCTGGAGATCGTATCGATATCGGTATCGGGGCATTATACAACTCGATTCCAGAGCGGCACGCGACTTTGCGCCTGCGCATTTGAATAAAAAAAGCTCGAATTATCCGCGCAAAATAATGCCAGTCATGTAGCGACGTCAGTGTGTATTTGTTTATTTTATTCGTGCCGTATTTTTCAGCCGTTGACAAATTAAGCCAAAATGATAAAGCAAGCGTAGAGGTGTTAGCTTCTTTTTTTCTCTCCCTCTCTCTCAGCCGAATTCCAATTTTGTTGTTAATGATCACAATAAATTCAATGTCCGCATGTCTGATCCAGACTTCTGGGTTTATTTTTTATATTTTTTATGATTTCAGTTCTTTTTTTTTGGCGACAAAATCATTTTGTGGCGCTAATTGCTTGGCTAAAGATTCGATACATTGAGTAACGCGATAGACCATGGATCTCTCGGCCGACGAATCCATTATCTTTCGGGCCTGTTTGTGTGGGGCAAACAATAGACAGAGAGAGAAAAAAATGAAATAAGAAATAAGATCCCCAGCATTTGGCCCAAATTAAGTTCTGTTCAAACACCGTTCAAGAACCTGTTATTCAAAAGCTGTTGACAACTTGTTGCCAGCGGGCAAACAGCGCTAACATTTCCCAAGAATGCGGGGCGAGATCACCTGTTGCCACCTCCCACACACTGGAATATTATCTGGATACCATATCGTTTTATTGGGGATATTCGCCTTGCGGCAGGGTCGGCTGCTTTGAAGCCACGGGGCAAACACCGGGAATCTTCAAACAGAACCATCTATCTATCTCAGTTTCAACAGTTCGTGACATTCCGCAAATATTTACACCTTCATTTGGTCAACTCCCCAGATCCCCGGAATATGTTTGTTTTTATTGGTTTATTTTCAAAGATAATAGATAAAAATTGAAGACGCTTTTGGTGATCACTTATGTTATATATTATAACCGGAAATATATTATACATATTTTATATTATTCCCTCTCGCTTTTTTGTATGTCTAATAATTTTAAATTATTTAAAAGTATATAGAAAATAGCAGTAATTTGATTATTAAGGCTATGATAATTCCCATTCCCAACTAATGATCGCATTTAATCCTATAAATCTATGAATAAAGTTAAATATATTTTATAACTCCAACGAACGAATCATAAATCAGGACTACTGATTTTTTTGATGTCATTACATTTACCTACTTTAAATTTAAGGCCATTAGAAATATCATTTCGATTATCTCACGCCGACGAATTCTGATTAAATTGACACCTTCAAAATATCTGCAATATATATTTCCCTACTTATCACTCGGATTTACCAGATCGCGAAGGTCTTTTAAGCGGATGGATCGTACGACGTAGATATACCCAAGTATTCTCTGTGGACTGAACACATATATCTAGTTCAAATTCGATTCGCAAACAGGTCGGCGACGAAACATTTGTTTGATAAAACGTTATCGGCCAATGGGGGTCTCTGACACCCGAATAATATTACTTTGCCACAAAACGCAGGGAAAGAAGTCGGGGGTATGGAATGGAGTTGGTCTAAATTTGGAAGCGACTTTTTTTGACAGTCCATCGTAGCGTTACGTTGATAATACGATTGTGTGTACTTTGTTTTTTTTTTTCTTTTAAATTTTTGCTATTTTTGGCAGCCAGTTTTTGCTGGTTTAAGCCAACTTTTTGGGGACGACGCTTCTGCTTCTCTTCGACTCGAAATCGAAATCGCAGCACGTGCAACTTGCACTTGCGTTTCTCTTTCCCCGATCCTCTCTTCGGCTCTTTCTCTTGGCAACTCTCTTTTATGGGCATGACCAGCAGACTTGTTTGTTATTCTCGCTCGCGGGCAAAGTCCACCGAGTGATGCCAAAGTTCATTGGCGATTTGAACTACACTATTCTACTCGGGTTTACACTATTTAAACAAAAGAAAAACTCCCCAATCAGAGCTTCAAGTCGTGTGAAAATATCATTATTTAAGCATTTTTTTCATTAAATCACTCAAAAAAATATAAACTTTTACGACTTAAGGTTTTTTTTTTATTCTACATTTTTTTTTACAAATTTTGATACTCAAAGTAAATAAATAAAACAGTAGAGCCATTGAAAATCTCTAAATTTTTTTCTTATATCCCCGATATTTAAAACAAAAAACTCTATCTATAATTTCTTTATCATAAAGAATTGACGATCTTATCATATTTTGGCTCTCCTTATTTTTGCTGACCTCTGACCGCTGTAATCTTTATCTTCCAATGGTGATTGCTTCAATCATGGTGGAACTATACAAGGTGCTCTCGTCAGCTCTGCTGAGGACGTTAAATATGGTTACCTCTCTGTCTCTCTTAAGCGATAGAATGAGAAAGCTAGATACAGACTGGCACAAATAACGTCCTCAAAAGAGGGCAGCCCTCGCGACGAGATCACCTTGTATAGTTCCACCATGGCTTCAATATTTCAAGAACAAATTCTCTTGATTTTTAAAATCTCTCTTTAGCTCTCTCTTTTTTTTGTAAAATTTGTTGAACTCTCCACTTCGACGGTCTTATCAATTTATTACGTTTTTTCTGGTTGACTTTTTATACTTGTTTTGTATTTTTTGTTTTCATTACGTAGCACTGATATGCGACGACCGGGCGTCGTAATCAAGAGCCAAAGCCAGTCCCCCACAACCGACCGCCCACCACCCACCGCCGCCCCCTCTTTGGATGACCTTAAAAGGCGGTAAGTGAACTTTCGTCGGCTTTATAGCGAAATTAGTGACCCCCTGCATTAATTGGACACAATCACAATCACAATGAAAGCCGAAATGCTGGAATTGTTAGAAGCGTGTGTAAATATGAGTTCG